GGAGATACGCCTCAAATTCAAGTGAATTCGAAATTTAAAAAGTTTATTTTTCGCGAAGTGTAACCCTTTTTACAAAAATGATTTTACTTGATTTACTTTTAAAATGAACTTACAGAGACCGTGAAATGAAACAAAAGGAAAATGAACAAATAGAAGGTGCGGTTCTATGGTTACGATCATTATCGTAATAAGCATTTTTCAGTATGTCAAACGTATATTGTACTTTCTATTTAAGAAGTTAATTGAGCTTTATCTCTTGTACTTATGGATAGTTTTCTGTTTATTCGTATTAATCCGAGTTTAGAGCAATCCCCGGATTTTAAGACTCCATCGCAGAGTTGTCTTCATTAGGTGAATTTTTGTTCGTACGTCGAAATATGTGTGTTTCAGAGTACTGAAATAATTTTTGTAGCAGAAAAATTTGTTTGAAAAAATTAAGGTGTGTTCCGCGACAATGTTTACTGATCGCTTCAAACATACAATGCTGCCCGATTTTATCAGAATCACTACAAAATAAATCACGTAAACGATAAGGTATTAAATTATTGAAAACGATATTTACGTTCAGAAGTCCAGAAGAACTCTCAAGGTGGTTAGTGAATAGGATATCACAAGAATTTTTCCTAGTCTATTACCAATATTTTAAATTCAATTTTTTTAATATATTTTGTGATATCTTAAGGATGAACTCGCATAGTGCGTCTAACTTCAGATTTAAAATGTATAAATGAAGATTTGAAGTATAGTTCTGTGATACGTCCCTACATCTTATTGAGAGCATTCTGTGTCAAACTCAGACTTGGTAAAAAATCACACTAAAAACGGTAGAAAAGGACATTTGTGATTTTTTTGGAATCACAAATCGTGGAAAGAAATTATGCTAAATTATGGCAGGGATACATGTAGGTGTTTGAATTAATTCCTTTTGTAAGTGTTTTACCGTTCCATAGGCAGCAGGTATAGTGGAAGCTTCAAGTAGAGTCATTTCATCAGGTACATCCCATAAGAAAAACTCAGGAACTATTATCTCCGTAGTCACGCAACCTCCCATTCTCATTCCCATGACACGGCGGCCGCTCGAGAGGCGACCAGAGAATTCAAACCCAATTACAGCGTCCTGGACAGACAAAGTCAAATGAATGTATTAGTGATTGTCTGGTGTACTTACGGTGCTACAGAACAATCAAATACACAAAGGTCACTTTGTAGATTACACTATTGATCGAGACGGGCTAAAGAGTAACCTTTAGTAGTTTTTAAATAAGTTTTTACATAAAATACATTTTCTAGAGGCTAGAAGAAAATACTGGAACAGGAGAAGCGAGTATTCATTCAAGTATTATATAATATTGATATATTTAATAAAATTTAATTATAATGTATTATGTACCTAACATACTTGATAAAATATTACTAAAAATACCCTACAAACAAAGTATCAATAAGTAGTGGAGAAAAATTACCGGGTCGCCCCTGGGCAAAACGTCTGCGTCCAACTTGGCGGAAGCGACCGACGAACATCACGATCGCGGAGTTCAACGCAGCGTAGTGCAACGTAGGCACCAGCAACGGTGGCAGCCGTAACAAGAGTTCTGCGCTGGACAAAAACAAGGCGCTGTGACGACCGAAGTCCGCCATCACAGGACGGCGCCACCGCAGAGCGCGGCCCCACCTTTCAGGCTCGATGCGGGCCTTGGAACCAGCCTACGCTAGAGAGGGTCCCCGCCGCACTGGCCGTTTCGGCAGAAAGCGTGTCGCACGGGCACGGACGGCGCGGCAGCCAGCGCAGGTGCGCAGCATCCCCCAGCGGTCGCCTGCAGCACGTTCAGCCCAGGTTCCAGCTCCAGCCGCCGCCGCACCGCTCCACAGCGCTGGGCGCGTCGTCCCACGGCCGTCTCCACGTCCGCTCCTCGGCAATGCAGGTATAACCTGCGAGCTGCGGGCCGGCGGCGTGGCCCTGGCGCAGCAGTTGAAGAGGCCCAGCGCGCGTTGGCGGCCTCCGCGCTCACAGCGCCCACGCGCTTTCTCGGCCGGTTGGGGTCGCGCAGCGCGCGCCTGCAGCCGCTCCACCCTACGCGAACGCCGCTGCTTCCGCTCGCCCTTCGGCCAGCTCGGGCACGGCAGCAAACCAGCGTGCAGCTGCGCGGTGCTCTGCGGCTCCAGCCGCCTGCGGAACCAGCAGCAAGCCACGCGCCCGCGGCACAGCATTCGTCAGCGCCAGCGCAGGCCCGCGAGGCCGGCGGCGTGCGCAGGCCGGTCACGCGCCGGGCGAGTGCACGCGCCAAACAAGGGCAGCCGCCTGCGCCCAGCGTCACCGCTGGCGCTGCGCCGACGCGTTTCGGCTCTTGTCCTCTCCGGCGTCCGGGCTCATCACCAGCAGGCGGCCAGGTTCGCGTTCGCCGCCAGCTTGAAGCTCGGCCGTCGGAGCCCCGCCGTGCCTCCGCCATCCGCCTCCGCTCCGCGCCCTCCTCCAGTGATAGAGGCGTGGCTGCTGCCTCAGCGGCATGGTCGTCCAGCGGCCGCAAGGAGGCGCGCGGCGCCGCGGCGTCAGGCGCGCTCCACAGCTTCGGCCACGCGCCACGGCGGGCGTGGTGCCGTGACGGCGGGCGGTTCTCCTGCACCAACTGCACGCTACACGCGCAACGCTCCGGCGCTCTCTCCACTCGCGCTCTTCTCGCCTGGGCTGCTGGCGGTCGGAGCCGTAGGGCACGAACCTCGTAGTGGTTCCAAGCACTGGCTTGCCACGTGCGGGCCGGCGAGGCGATGGCCCTGGCGCACAGCCGCGTAGCTCGACAGTGGCGGTCGTGATGAGGTCCAGCTAGCAACATCTGTGCTTTCGATCAGCGCGCATTGTTTCTGGAGCACCGTGGGCATTAAACTAATACCACCATCTTGGATCTGGTAATCAACCCCTACTCTATCGTTTTTTTGACCTAAATGATTCGTGAAAATTGTTCACAAATCTAACAATTCGTAAACTTAATATAATTGCTCATTTCAGTAACACATCCATGTCTTTATGAATCTAATAACGAGTCTTCAGAGTACCTGACTGTTTTTCGCAATCTTGCTTTAACGTATCATGTTCTAGGGCAGTCTGTTTTCGGGCCGACAGTTATTCTGAAGAATTTTAATAATTCTGTCTGAATCAGTAATATGTTTAATCAGCTTGTGAGTAAATCGCGGACATTAACACGATATAAACCATTACGGAAATTATATGTATAATATCAATCATTGTGCGAGCACTTATAAGCAACATAATTCTGAATCACGTGTCTTTTTAGTCTTGTACTGGACAGGATAACGATTCGTGTTTACAGGAGGTTAAGACTGGTCTGTTAGATTAACGGTCATAAAGAAATGTTACACGATTTCTGGAGAAGAAATTGGCGTGGCAACAAGCATACTTCAATTTGCGTATTGTCTGTAATAAAGCATTAAGTATATAAAATGGGTTAAAGGAGGCTGAGTGGAACGTTAATCGCGTTAAAAACGTTTAGGTAAAATCCCAGAAAGAGGGATTTAGTTGGGGTACCCGTTCTAATTATGAATACTAAGCATGGTTCTGTACTTACATGGGCCGGTTTGACCGCTTTGGAGTCAAGGACCTCCAGCTGTCGGCCGCGTGTCCACCCACCACCTTCTGGATGGAACGTGAGTACGTACAGCTGCGTGATCGCGTCCCAGGATTTGCATCTGCAGGAGAGCGTCCCAGGAAGGACAACCTCAGTTGTTGTTCAGCGAATAGCGTGCGGCGCCGTCTCCCTGACAGTGGTTCATACACATTACAGATTCTAGAGAAAACAGAATTAACCATTTAATATTGAAATTATTCCGAAAGGTTTGTCTCATGCAGTAC